ATTCCTACTGCCATAATTCTGACACATAAAATGAGGCATAAGATTATATTATACCTTGATATAAGGGATATGATTAGATATACCTTAAAAAGACAAACCGATATTACACGCAAATGCACTGAGAGCTGTGGTCTCAATTCTGATTAACTTAAGCCTTATTCAGAAATCTCACTGAACAGTGCTACAACATTTAAGTCAGCACGCCATTTCATACGTGTATTTCCTACACAGCACTCCATTGAAACTGTATGTAACACTTCTCCTGTTCTGACAGAGGATCTGTTTCTAAACTAGCTCATTAAAAACTAACATTCACAGTGTTCAGAAAACAAAGACGGTAAGAAAGCTGCTTCTCCCAAAGCTATCATTTCGGAGCAGTGAAGTCTGCTGAGGGCTACTGAATTATCATCAGATGGGCAAAAGCAGGAAGCAAGTTACGCTACTGTTTATCAGGCTACAAGATGTGTAAGTGCTGCTGAATATGAATAAAAAAGAATTAAAATATTCATTCTGACCTTATAGGGGCCAAGACTCCCTCTCTCCAAAGTTACTGCATACCGAAGTAATAGCTGTTCTTCATTTAGTCGAGATCAAATGTTTCTCAAGGCATGTTCAGTAACTTCTAACATAATCTTATTCCACACAAAAGGAAATTGGTTATTTGTATGTTATCCAAGGAAGGCTGAGTAATTCCCTGTGGTAGGAAAAACCTCTAAAAATAAGTCACCTCTCAGCAGAATCACTCCCTTCCTGTCTGGGTATGAATTGGTTTGCAACTGCATGAAAGGACAAAGCTTGAGGATGAAGTACAGAGAACTTCTGTAATGATAACACTGCTCAAATACATTCATTTCACTCCTACTTGGTTTAAAAGAATCCAACTATTAGGGGTGGAGCAAGCCAGTGACCCAACAGGATGTGCATGACCAGAGCTCCTCATGTGTGGCCTTCTGCTTTCATGTTTATTTTTGGATGTATTTTCCTTTGTGCTTTGAAACAGTTTTTTGGGCAAGGTAGTGAGCACCGCACTAACTCATTGATGCTAAAGAGGGAAAGCAAATTCTTATCAACACAGAGTACTTCTTCCTACGGATTAATAGAGCATCTTGGAAGTCTACAGTGTTATAACAGTGATTAATAACTTTTTTCATGTTAGTGCTCTTCAGAGATGAAGGCCAGGGACAATCAGTGCACAAAGGCATGTCACCAGTGACTCCCATAATCTCCTAGAGCTTCTTCATCAGGGAACAGCGTTCAGCTGTGTGAGAACCTAACCAGAGATTTCATCATCTCCAATCTGCTATAGCAGCCACTGATAGAAAACAAGTGTCCAAGGACAAGTAAGCTTAGAAGTTCAACAGATGTTCCCGAACAGGATGCTACTTCAACAGATATAGTCATTACAGAAAACACTAGGCCATTTTAACTGGTAATTGTTGTTATCAGGACAACATCACTTGTTTTGACCAGCATTCCCTGACTGTTAAAAATGGAGGTCACAGTAAATCTTTCTGTATTAAAAGGGTTGATTGAATGTGTGGTTCTGTATATTACAGAAGGAATCTTATTATATTTTTGATAAAGAATATCCTATCTTTTCCTCAAAGAGTATTTAAATTTATAAGACTGACAGAATAGTGATAAAAAAGTCTCTTTAGAAGTAGCAATCTCCTTCTTTCAGGTATAGACCCAATTGTAATTGCACTCAAAGAAATTAATACACTTTGCTGTATGTTGTGCATTAAATATGTTTATAAGCCACATCTGGTCTGTGAAACATTCTATCAATACAATTGTTTCTTAGAGCAATACAGCTAATACAGGAAAAGTTACTTTTCAACTTAAACAAAACTCAGAAAAATTAGGTTTTATTTTAGGATTTATACTAAAAGTTTCATAAGCAGTATAAATGGGTATTTATTTGTCTTTCAAAGAACTGCATAGATTTGTGGTAGAAAAACATTTTTTTCAAACATGAACTTCATCAGTAGGTTTCAGTGTTAACAAATTTTTACTATCAAGGTAGTTCATAGCTTTTAGTCCTATCATTTCAGATTAGTTGCACAATAAATTAAAGTCAATACTGAATCAATTTATACTGGTTCATTTTACAAGATTATATTCACAACCTAAAAATAAAAAAGAATATTAAAAACAGCAGTCTTGGAATGTCTATGCTCTGTATGCCAAAAATCTTTAATCAGCTAACAGAGAGTTTTCATTTGTTCTTTCCCTCAAAAGAAGGAAAAAAGTAAATTTCCTCAAAATTAAATTTCATGGGGGAAAAAAAACGCAAACAAAAAACTTAATCATATATAAAATATATTTTTTGCACTTCTATTATTAATCATAAAAACCCTACATTCATAAAAGCAGTAACCATTTTAAGAATTTCAACCCTACAGTTTATTTAGGTTGTTGTTAAACTACACTATTATATTATTTTGGAATTATTCAACTTTTTTTTAATGGAGAAACTACTTCTTTCTGGAATTAAATTCTCATTATCTGGAGAGTTAAAATTTGTATGCACTAGATTTTAGTTTTTACCACATCTGGATTGTAATGACACTGACATTGTTGCCCTTTCCCATTTTTCCCACAGCACCACCGATAATAAATATCTGCGATCCATTTCATTAAAAACAAATAAAAAAATTATCTGAATGGCACGTCACTGTATCAATAACCGTTTCCTCATATGGGCTTTGTCACAGCAAAGATATATGAATCTTAGGATAAGGTAGACAGTAC